ACCTCTGTCCCCCCCTGCTAGCCTCAAGAACCCTGGCTCCAGGAGGACAAGGGAAACATGAGTTCCATCTTCCTTCTGTCTTCCGGGTGTGCTAGTTGAAAAGACACTCTGCTGTCACCTAATGCCAACATCAGTATGGAGTATGCAGAGAGTCACAGATCAGGCCCAGAAAAGGCACAAGACAGCCTTAGAAAAGGACCAGTGATAGGGTGGGGAGATGGTTCAATAGGATAAGCGCTTGACTGGCAAACGCAAGGATCTGAGTTCAATCCCCGGTTCCGCCAAAAAAAAAGAAAAGGACCAGTGATGAGGTGCTCTGGTAGTGCAAACATCACCAGGGGAAATCTAGGCATCCCAGCTGCAGCTCTGCTCCCGAACAGCTGACAGGATGACCTCAGCAATAAGGATGTTAACATGAAAAAAAATTCTGTCACATTGAAAGATAATCTGTTACTTCTGTCCATGCAAGAAGACATAGCATAAAGCCATAACAATACGACTTTCTGGCTCTGGTACAGCTGGAGGTAAAAAACAAACAAACAAAAAAGCCAATGAATGGCACAGAATATATCTCACAGGCACGACCCGTGTATGAAGGGGAACTGAGTGCAAGGGAGACCACGCTCAAAGCCACAGCAGCACAAGTGGGCTGTGTGTGCCGGATGCTGTTCAGGAACCTGATGGGTGACACAGGAGATGTGGAGATCACAAAATATACGAGCGTGGGTTAGGTGACCTGAAGAGTTAAATGTGAAAGAAAAACTTCAAACAAATAGAAGAAAAATGTAGGCATAAATAATGTCTGGTGAAAGGGCAGGATTTAAAACTCCCAAAGCACACAGTACAAGGGCAAAATTACCTAAGTATTTTAAAACTGAGGATTTTGAATGACAATATACATAAAATTATCAGATCTCTGACAGATTAAGAAAAGCTATCTGCAATGTCAATACCACAAGAAGTTAATAGGTAAATGATGTTAAAAATATTTGGAACATAGGACATGTGATTAAAATATAGGCAGCATGCTTACATTTTTTCTTTTTAGAGGTAAAACTTTCAGAGGCTGGGGAAATAGCTCAGTAGAATAAGCCTGGCAAGCACAAGATCCTGAGTTCAATCCCCAGTTCTGGGAAAAAAAAAAAAAAAAGAGGTAAAACCCTGGCTTTTCCCAATTTATTTTTTTAAAGAGAGTACAAATTAGAATTAAAGAAAAGATTACAAGTGATATAAATTTTCACTTAATAAAGTAATATGAATTTCACAGTATTTGTTGTAATAAATAGTGTTGCCTTCCATCCAGTTATTCATATTACTGGATATAGGCATGTAACATTGGAAGAAGAAAGAAAAAATGGAAGAAATAAAGAAGACAAAAAAAAGAGAAACAGTTGCAAAAAGGAGACAAAACAAATTAAAGCATTTACTGCTCCTTTCCACAGACCAGCAGAAAGGCACAGTACAGTTGTCCAAACCATCGTGCTTACATACATAAATAAATCTCTTTTCCCCCACTCCCACTCCTGTCCAGGGAATGAACTTATTCAAAAGGACCAGATTACTGAATGCTTACATCTTTAAAAAGTAATACTGTAAGAGATGTATTGTCAGAATCCAAAATATCCATCCTTGCTTTGAAAGTATTTATCCCCTTGTTCTTGTCCTTTTTAGACACAGTTCTGCAAGTCACTTTTTGTGTTTTTAGTTGTGCTCTAAGTTGCTTCCATGTCCTGGGTCAGTTCAAAACATTTGTCATGCATGGTCCTCTGATTGTGGAGAAGGGGTGGAGGCTGCCCAGGTGGGTGTCAGGTACAGAAGAGTGACCACTGTGGATGAGGACGCGCGTGTTGTTTTCAGGAGCTGGCTTCCATGGGATGGCACTTGGCAGTAGTGTTCACTGTATTTTTAATCACACCTTAGAAAGATGCTCATGAGGGGACGTTCTGAAAGATGCTCCAGAACGTGGCAGGGATGATGGGACATGTGTGCTCAAAGCAAGGGGGAGAGTCCTACGGGGAGGTCAAGGCAATGTGTCTTTTACTGTAGTAAAAATGTAAACATTCACTCTGTATTTTGCCCAAACCATGACATGAGCAAATCCACAAGTAAAACATTAGATGCTCATTTGGAAAATAATCCTGTCAGCCTGGTCCATGGGACCTCAGTTTCCCCATTTATTCATTTGATGTCTGTGTATTCAGAGTCTATCAGCTGTGCTATAGGTGTAGGGCTATGGCAGACCAAACCTTATGGTATGGGCTGGTGAGATGGCTCAGTGGTCTAAAGCACCTACTTAGAACAAGCTTGGCAGAGCACAGGGACCGCGGTTCAATCCCCCAGCACCACATGCCAGCCAGCCCTGCCCCCTGGTGGGCTGAGCAGGCCACACACACACACACACACACACACACACACACACACATAAATAAATGAATAAAATTAAAAAAAAAAAACCTTATGGTATTTAAATAATCCACAGTATTTCTTCCCTCAATAGGAAAGAGGAGGATTTTCTTTTTAAAATTACAACCATACAGTTTTTGAGTTGGGAGGGCCCTCGGGTGCATTTCTTCCAAGTTCTTTTTTCTTCCCCCTAGAGTGAAATCCAACCCACAATCTTGTCTGAGCCACAGCCCTTTCTTTTCTTGTTTCTGTTTCAGGGGCTGTGAGGGACAGAACAAAGGGGTTCCTCGTGACACCCTGGCAACGTGCAAAACCCCACGGTGAGAGTCTCCCCACTTCTTCTCCTCCTCTCCCCTCTCCCAAGAGCTCTTTCCTCATCTCTCTCGTCATTCGTTTTTCACTTTCCTGACCTCTTTCTAAAAAGTGCCCCGTATAAGAGAAAACCTCTGATGTTGACCCGAGTCTGGCTTATTTCACTGACTTAGCTCTTGTTCCATCCACTTCCCTGGAAAACTGGATCGCACTCCTCTTTACGGCTGAGTTAGACTCCACTGTGTGCACAACCCACATTTCCTTTGCCCTCTCATCTGTGGGTGAACATGGAGGCTGTTTCCACAGTTTAGCTAACGGGAGCTGCACCTCAATCAGTGCAGGGGTGCGGGTGTCACTGTAATACAGCGTCTCTAGTTCTTCTAGGAGTGTGCAGAGCTGGGAAGTCTATCCACACTCTTGCACAATGACACACAACTTGGCAGTGCGACATGGGTGCTTAATAGCGACCGCCCTGCCAAGTATTGCAAATGGTAAGATTTAGCATCATAATGGTGTAAGGAGCTAAAGAGGTAACATAAACTAAGCCACAGCATACACATGGCAAAAGCTCAGTGTTAGTGAGGTATGGTGGTGTACGTCTCTAATCCCAGCACTCAGGAGGCTGAGGCAGGAGGATCACCATGCGTTCAAGGCCAACCTGAACTACATAGGAAGATCCTGTCTCAAAAGAAAGAAAGAAAGAAAGAAAGAAAGAAAGAAAGAAAGAAAGAAAGAAAGAAGCTCAGTGTTAGCTTGTCCTATAACTAGATTATGATATTAACATGTTATTTTCCTGTACATAACATATCAAGAATAGTGTTAATCAAGTAACTGGTTGTTAAAAAAAATAATGATCAAAAAGAAGTTACTTTTGGGCCGGGGAGATGCCTCAGTGGAATAAGTGCTTCCCTGGCAAATGCAAGGGTCTGAGTTCAATCCCCGGTTCCGCCAAAAAAAAAAGAAAAATAAAAAAGAAGTTACTTTAGCCAGGATGGTGTGTTGTAGCCAGTTGTTCTCCCTTGGATGACAACACTGCCGTTGTCTGGGGTCCCAACCGTCACCGGAGCTCAGTACCAAAGGATGGCATGCTGAGCCAGCTAGATGGCAAGGGCTCATCCCTAATACACTGGGCAGGCAGACGCAGCTGGAGAACCAGCTACACCGAGGAGACATCTCTGAGAAACACACATCCCTTCAAGAAGCCCCGACACTAGTGTCAAAGCTCTTCTCAAAAGAATTTAAAACATCTTTCTGTAGTGATATATGTGTATCCATGTTTACAGAAGCGCAGTTTGTAATAGCCAAATCTTGGGAATAGCCCTAATGTCCATCAACTCAATAATGGATTGAAAAAATGTGGTTTTTTAATACAATGAAATACTATTCTGACACAAAGAAGGATAAATTCAAGACATTTCTAGGTAAATGGATGCAGCTGGAGACCATACCCTTCAGTGAAATAAATCGGACACAAGTGTAAATATCCCAGTGCCGCTCTGGTGTGAGACTATGAAAGAGTAAATAAGAACCAAAAGGTGTAGTCGATATTGTGAAATAGGAAGACATTGCAAAAGAAAAGGGAACTAAGGTGGGGTAAGGGGAAAGGCAGGACGGGAAAAGAAGAAAATGAGAAAAGAAACTAAGCTTTGTAAATAAGGAGCGGAGGAGGGGCTGAAGGGAGAGAGGGGAGGGGAATGGGGGAAGGACGAACGAGCTAGACCACGCGCAGGTGCAAGTTCGCTGCGGCGAACCTGAGGGCTACGTGCATCTGAGTGCTACCAATAAAGGTAATAAGAGTAATAAAAAGGGAACTAACATGCCTGCCCAAGAACGTCCCCTCGTGGGCACCGCTGTGCGCGGCGGGTCGGCCGGCGCAGGGCTGCAGACTCAGGACGCGAGCTGGGAGGGAGGGAGGGAGCCGGCCGCCCGCTGCGCGGCTGCTGCGGCTGCTGCGGCTGCTGCCGGTGCCGAGCCAGGGGCGGCGAGCACCTGGCCCCGCGTTGCCCAACTACGACCACTGTGCTGCTTTCTCATCCGGTGATGAAACCGCACGTAATTGCCACTTGTCTGAGGACGATTAATGTCATCCAGCTGGCTTTTCAAAAAAGGGTGTGAGCAGGAACACGAATAATGCTCGCCTAATTAGGGACCCAGGCTCCCACGAATCGGACGCCTCGTACCAAGCGTTTGCAAGAGTTCTGTCGAGGGCCGCGCAGGCTTGGTGGGCGGGGCCAGCTGTCCTCATTAGAATAAAATCAACACGTTCAACCCATTTATAAGAGGAAAAGCATGTGTCCTCAAGCGTAGGCTGCAGAGGCTGGCCACTGGCCGGAGAGCTCGGGCGGCAGGACAGCATCAGGGAGCATGAGTTCCAAGTCGAACTCCGTGGGGGTCATCGGAGCCCCCTTCTCCAAGGGACAGGTGAGTAGAAGCCCCGGCCTGGAGGGGCTGGGCCACGCTGGGTATGCAGGAACTTTTAAATGCGGCAGATGTTACCGTCCTGTGTCTCCAATTTCCCCACATACTCAGAGGAAAAGTGCATACTTTAAGGTTTTCTTCCCATTTTATGACACTGCCTACTCCGGTCTCACCTCACACCCGTGCTCCTGACCCCTGCTCTCTGCCAAATTCAGTTTCGTGTTTGCTCACTTTTAAGCAAAAAAACTTTCTTTGAATGGAAACGCCCCGTTTGTTTCTGCGTTGTCACTCTCTGCTTTTGTGGCTCTTGTTGGATGGGAGGTCCCGTGAGGATGTAGAGGAGAACTTAAAAATGCCTTCGCTCTCTGGGTAGTGGATGCTTAGAAAGCTTCCTGGGTTGGCGGCAAGATTTCGGCTTCTCTTAGGTTGGTAAACTCAAGTATCAGTCGCTTTGTGTGACTTGGCCAGTAACTCATCAGCTCTCGGGGTTCTAAGAGTTCTATAAAAGTTGACGGGCGAAGTGGAATCCTTTGCATACTTCTCTTGGGGTGGGGACCGCATAGCCTGCCTGTGGGCCACGCCGACAGGAAATGAGTTTGTGAATCGCCTGAAAGCCACTAAGTGGGAGTCTACACCTGACAGCAACGTTTAAATCATCTTTTTTTCTGCCGGTTACACACACTCTGGCAATCATGAGATGACGGATATGTTACACTCAGCAGCGTCTGTGCTTAAGGAAGGGGGAGAAACCTAAAGAAGACAATGTGTGAGTTGCCGCTCCTGAGATTGACTCCTCTTTAAGTGGTCTTCCCCGTTTTCTTTGGACCTAGGACTTTCACCCTCCTCTTAGCTTTGAATTCTTTCTGTGAACTCTGACTTTTTATTGCAACACAAAATTTGGAGAGGTCAGAGGTAGAAGCCCAAATGGCATTTGGCCTGTGAGTAAATATTATTTCCCCTCCCTGGAACCCCCAAAGAGCTCTCCCGGAACACAGGGGCATGTGCTGACCTGTGCTGCTTTTCAAAATCTACAGAAGGCTCATCCGTTCTTGGCATAGAGTATGACTCAGACAGAACTGAGAAAACTGACCAAGGAGAAGAAGGAAATAAGGGGAAAGGAAGAGGGGAAGAAAGAGGAAGGAGGGAGGGAGGGAGGGAGGGAGGGAGGAAAGGAGAGAGAGAGAGAGAGAGAGAGAGAGAGAGAGAGAGAGAGAGAGAG